CTGTTGCTCAGTATGGACCTTGTGCCACCCTGGAGTGCCAGTTTTTTTTTTTTTTTTTTGAGACGGAATCTTGCTCTGCTGCCCAGGCTGGAGTGCAGTGGTGTGATCTCTACTTACTGCAACCTCTGCCTCCCAGGTTCAAGCAATCCCCCTGCTTCAGCCTCGCGAGTAGCTGGAATTACAGGTGCCCGCCACCATGCCTGGCTAATTTTTGTATTTTTAGTAGACATGGGGTTTCACCATGTTGGCCAGGCTGGTCTCGAACTCCTGACCTCAGGTGATCCACCCACCTCGGCCTCCCAAAGTGCTGGGATTATACAGGCATGAGCCACCGCGCCCATGGAGTGCCAGTTTTTTCACATCCCTGCCTACACTTGGTGTGGTCAGCCTTTTTAATTTTATAGCACTTTAGTAGGTATCTCTTTGTGGTTTTAATTTGCATTTCTCTCACGACTAATGGTTTTAGGCATCTTTTCATGTGCTGCTTTGCCATCATACGTCTTCTGTGAAATGTCTGTTCAAATCTTATGACCATTGTTCAAAAATTTTTTTTAATTAAGTTTTGAGTTATTTGTATTCTAGATACAAGTCCTTCATCAGACTTGTAATTCACAGATCTGAGTGGTTTATCTTTTTATTCAAACAGCCAGTTTTTAATTTTGGTGAAGTCTAATTTATCAATTTTTTTCTATTATAGATTTTGGTTTTGGTGTTGTGTCTAAGGAAACTTTGCTTAATCCAAATTTACAAAAGCTTCTAATTTTGTAGCTTTATATTTTACATTTAAATCTGTGTTCCATTTTGAGTTAATTTTTTAAATGGTACAAGTAGGGAATAAAGTTCCCTTTTTTTGCTTATGGATACTGGATTATTTTAGCACCATTTGTTGTAAATCTCTATGTCTGTACTCTCTGTTCTAGTCGTTTGCTCTCTCTGTGTATTCATACATGAATATCATACTGTCTTGATGGCCATAGCTTTATATTAAGTCTTGAAATCAGGTGGTGTTAGTCCTTCAACTTACATTCTCTGTCCGAGTTGTTTTGACTGTTTTAGGTCCATTACGAACTTTCTAATCAATTTTCTAGGGTTTTGATTGAGGTTCTACTGAATCTCAATAGATTTTATTTGAATAAAATAAATAATCTCAATTTTTGTTTAACTTGGAGAGGGTTGACATCTAAATTTTGAATCTTCGTACCCATGAACAAGATACACCTAATAGGTTTTGTTTCTTTTAGCAACATTTTGTAGTTTTGCATACCTTTTGTCTGATTTCTCTGTAAGTATTGAACATTTAATTCAAGGTCTGATTATTTGTTGCTAGCATATAGAAATAACATTGATTTTTATATCTTGCAATCCTGCTAAACTCATTAGTTTTAATTTTTTTAATAGATTTTTTAATACTTTCTTGAAACACAGTCATGTCATATGCAAATAAGACAGTCTCACTCTTTCCTTATAAGTCTGGATACCTATTCTTTTTCTTGCCTTATTGCACTGGCTAGAACCTCCAGTTCAGTGTTGAATAGAAGTGACAGTGGGCTTTCTGGTTTGTTCCCAGTCTTACGGGAAGAGCATTTAGATGTTCACCAGTTGGTGAAATATCAGCTGTAGATTTTTCAAAGATGCTCTTTATAAGTTTGAGGGAGGTCACTTCTATCCCTAGTTTGCTGAGATTTTTTTTTTTTTTTAAATCAGGAATGGCTATGGATTTTGTTAAATGCTTTCATTTGTGTTTGTTGAAATGATCATATGATGTTTTCTTTTTTAGTTTGTTAATATGTTTTAGTTTGAATTACATTTTTTTTTCAATCTTGTTAAGCCAGTTAACAGGATGTTAAGCCAATCTTGCATTCTTGGGATAAAGCTTGCTTGGTCATAGTATGTTGTATTTTTTAATATATGATAGTAGTCAGTTTGCTAAAATTTTGTTTTGAATTTTAAAATGTGTATTCTTGAGGGACATTCGTCTGATTTCTTGTAATGTCTTTGGTTTGGGTATAGGGTAATGCTGGCTTCATAGAACAAATTGAGATGTGTCTTCCTTTTTTCTCGATGAATTTGTATCAGAATTGGTATTTTTGCCTTAAATGTTTGGTGTGGTTCACCAGTGAAGTCGTTTGGGGCCTGTAGTATTCTTTGTGGGAAGCTGCTAAACTTCATGTATTTCTTTAATAAGCTATAGGGCTTAAGGGTTTAAACTACACATATTTCTTTAATAACATATAGGGCCATTCAGCTTATCTGTATCTTCTTGAGTGAGGTTTGGTAGTCTGTGTTTTTCAAGGAATTTGATCATTTCATCTTGAGTTGTTAAATTTAATGCTTTTTTTTGAGACAGGGTCTCGCTCTGTCACCCAGGCTGGAATGCACTGATACAATCACGGCTCACTGCAGCCTGGACCTCCGGGGTTCAAGTCATCCTCCCACTTCAGCCTCCCCAGTACCTGGGACTACAGGCACACACCACCATGCCTAGCTAATTTTTGTAGTTTTCGTGGAGATGAGGTTTCACCATGTTGCTCAGGCTTTTCTCAGACTCCTGGTGTCAACTGATCTGCCTGTCTAGGCCTCCCAAAGTGCTGGGATTACAGGTGTGAGCCCCAGCACCCGACATTGCAAAAGCTTTTAATAATATTTCCTATTATTTTAATATTTATGAAATCCGTAGTCGTTTCACCTTTCTCATTCCCAGTGCTGATAATTTACCTTGCCTCTTTTTACTCACCAGTCTGGCTATGGAGGCATGTCAGTTTTACTCATCTTCTCCATGAACTAGTGTTTGGTTTCATTGATGTTCTCTGGTTGTCTTTTTTCTGCGTTAGGGATTTCTCCTCTCTCCCTCTCTTCTGTCATCTTACTGATTTAATTTGCTCTTTTCCCAGTTTCTTAAAGTAGAAGCTGAGACTATTGATTTGAGGCCTTTTTTCTTTTCTTACCTAGGCATGTAGTATATATGAATTTCCTGACAAGTATTGCTTTCATGGCATCCCCCCAATTTTGATTTGTGGCATTTTTCCATTCAATTCAAAGTACTTTGTAATTTCCCTTTTGATTTCTCTTCTACCTGTTTGTCCAGCTTATTTAGATATCTGTTTAGTTTCCAAGTATTTAGGCATTTTTCCAAGATTTTTGTGTATAACTTGAATCCCTTTATGTTATATGGCCCAGAGTATAGTTGACTTTGATAAATGTTCTGTGTACACTTAGGAGGAATGTCTATCCTGCGATTGTTGGGTAAAGGGTTCTATAAATGTCACTTAATTCCAGTCGGTTAATGTTGGTGTTCACTTTTTCTGTATCCTTGGTGATTTTCTGTATAAGTAGTTCTATCGATTACTGAAAGGGGAATGTTAAAACGCTTCAGCTGTGATTCTGGACGTGTCCATTTCTCTGTTCAGTTCTGCTGTTCTTATATGTTGAAGCTCTGTTATCTGGTGCATGTATATTTAAGATTATTATATCTTCTTGGTGAACTCGTCATTATGTATTGTCTCTTTTTATCCCTGGTAATCTTCTTTGCTCTGAAGTCTGCTTTGTCTGATGTTAGTATAGCCATTTGAGCTTTCTTTTGATTAGTGTTTTTGGACTAAGCTTGACTTAAGAGTCACTTGGTAAATTTTCTTACAAGTTTTGAACCTCTTTGCCTTTGTCTGGAATTACACAAGGTGCCATCCCTTTTCTCATAAGTTCCTTCCTTGCTGAATTTGTTCCTTTTCAACTTGATCTTTCTAGCTTCCTGTGAGAGTTCCACATTTCATGCTAACACCACCATGGTCAAAGATTTACTCTGGACCTGCTGCGTGTTCATTCGGGGTGCTAGGGATAACACCAGAGCCTTTCTTCCTATGGCAATTGTGCTTTAGTGGAGTGAGGCAGACAGTAAGCAAATGCACACTGTGCCAGTGGTGAGGACGTGCTCTGTGGAACAAAACAAAGCCGAGAGTGAGGGGCCTTGGTGGAGCTAGGAGGGTGCTGCTTTAGGAGAGTGGGCACACAGAGCACCTCTCTGAGAGAGTGACATTTGGACAGAGACATGCTTAGAAGCAAGGGATGAGCTACATGGAAGTTGGGCAGGGAACATTTCCAACAGAAGGGCCAGTGAGTGCAAAGGCCTGGGAGGGGAATGTGCCTGGGAGTCCTGAGAACCACATGTATGGCTAGACAAGGCAAATGATGCCGAAAAGATCATAGTTTTAACCAGCTAGAACATTGCAGGATTGTGAAATACTGCGCTGAAAACTTATCTTTAGTCACATAATGGTCCAAACCAAATAGTACAAGGGAGGTTTAACCTTTTAGGTCTGCGAGGAGCAGGGAGTGGGTAGGGATGGGCTCTTTCCTTGCACTGTCATCCAGCAGGCTGCTGAGGACCTTGTCAATCTTTGAAGACCAGTGAGCCGTGCAGGATGCCCATCGACATTAGTCTGGTTTGAGTGATGAGTGGTAAATTCTTTTTCTTACTTCCAGTAATTTTCTTTTTGTTCCTTGTCCATGTTGAACATAGTTATAGACCAGTCCCACGCCTTTCTTAATCTTTTCCCATATTTGTGGGCTCATGGTTCTCTTAGATGTGTTAGTTCACAGGGAAAATCCTTTAAAAAGTTAGAAGAATAGCTAATAGATGTTTTCACACACACACAACATTCATTAATAGTTTGGAAAATTCAGTCTCGTCCATGGATTATAAGTTTCCCCCATACTTTCTAGTACTTCACACCATCTGTAGTGTCACAGTGTATTTTTGCTGCCATAAAGCTGGTTTGGATTCATATTTTCACAAGAATGTAATGGGAAAGACCATAGAAAAAGGGAGATTGGGCGTAACACTGCAATTCTGTTTAGCTGGTCAGCTGGTAGTTTCTATTGTGACAAAGGTATGTGTTTGTGTGTAGTTGATGTCTGTAGTGAAGAGTACAGTGGAAACATTGACCAAAATAGTAGAATTGTTACAATTCAAATGCAGACACTCACAAGTTTTTATTTTATTGCAGGTATTTCTTGGTGGATTTTTATGCACCCACCACAACTGTTGAAAGCATGGTGGAGCACTTGTCTCGAGACATAGATGTGATTAGAGGGAATATCGTCAAACACCCTCTGACCCAGGAACTAAAAGAATGTGAAGGGATTGTCCCAGTCCCACCTGAAGAAAAATTATATTCCACAAAGAAGAGGAGGAAGTGAAAAGATTTGCCAGATTTTAGCCGTATCCCTTCACATTTGAGCAGCATGGATGAGAAGGAAGAGTTTGCAAGTTTGGCCTTTATATAAACATGTGTTGCAGGTGCTGTTTGATTTTTCTAAGGTATTTTTAGCCCTTGATCCCCTTTGCTTGTGAGAGGTGGGGAACTGCTTATTGACAGCTTCTCTGTAACCTGCAGTACCAGTGGATCATTCTTGATTTTGTTTTCTTTAGTGTCATTTCTTTGTCAGTGAGGACTTTTCCCCTTATAACAGTAACACCATTTTTTGAAGAGCAAAACTTACAATACCTCCTGGGATCGTGAGCTAGTCATTCAGCCTGTATAACCATGTGGAAATAAAAATTGATGACCAATGTATTATATGGACAACTTTTGCCTTGAGTAATAAACTTGATTGTGGGAATACAGGAGGTGTTTTGTCCCTTTACTTACCACAGCGCGGTGCACTTCCAGGGCTCTGCAGCTCTGGTCTAGCTGGCAGTGTCGGGGAGGCATTACCCAGTACCCACTGGGGTCCAGAGCTTGGGTGGGGCAGGGGAGGAGGGGTGTGTCTCTCTGTTCCTTACTGGGTTCGCTACACAATCGGTGACTTTTCCCCGCACACCTCACTCGTCGTCGTGGTGGGTGCTGCTCTTTGTGGTGGGATGTGTGTTCTGGCGCAGTTCAGCCTTCATGCTGCTCCCTGTCATTCCTTTGCCACTAGCACCTGCCTCCTCCACTGTCCCTCAGCCCAGGGCAGGCCTCTTGTAGGAAGTAGTCTCCTGGCAGTGGCATGGCTTCCAGGATGGGTGAGGATGAGGCTGTTTCCCAAAACAGTCATCTGCATCTCATCCTCGGTCTCCTTGGGGCTGATTGGAAAGACTTGACCAGCCCTTCCTCCTTCACAGGGGTGCCCTGCACAAGGTGTCTGGCACCATCACAGATGATGGAACTTCTGTGCATAAAATGTTGGGGGAAGTGCCAGTTCTAGGAATCTCTGAAAAGCACGAAGGAGCTGAGAGTTCTGGCCTCTGCCTCATTTTTAACCATGGCAAAACCGGACGATGGAGAGATGTGCAAGAGATGCCCAAAGCGCCAGAAGGGCCTGGTCTCCCAGCTCTGGCCCAGCGCCTCCTCCCTCTATAGCAGCTGCCTGTGTCTGCACTGGGTCACCAGTGTTGTCACCTTGCTTATTAAGAACTCAGGTGGTATCCAGCTTAACTTCCTCCAGAGGCAAAAAGTTATAAAAAGTCTCTTTGAAGAGCAATAATTCAGTGAAGAGGCTCATTAAGAACTGTAGACTGGAAATAAAAGGGGTAAAGGATTATCTGGGAAAATAGGCTACTTCTGTTTTATTCAGAATTTCCTGAAAGCGCAGGCCCTCGGCCAGGGCTCACGAGAGCACCAACTCTCTAGCAGACACTTTGCGTCCGGATGTGCTTTGACCCGGTGCGATCCGAGGTCCATTTTGCTTGGAGTTTATTAAATGCACGCCGCGTGCCGTGCTGCACACTTTTGTCTGTTCCCTCAGTTACTCCTTTCAGCAGCCCCAGGAAGGCAGCATTGCTATACCTGTTGTATGGACCAGGAAACCCCCACTCAGATTTGCCCTTGACCCCACAACTGCCAGTGATAGGTGGAATCTGGAACTGGGGATCCTGATGCCGTCTGTTTTTTTCCTTCCTGTAACAGTAAGGTTGTCTTTGCCCTCTCAGGTTCAACGAGGCACTTGGGTGTCTGGGGTGAATTGTCACCACTCAGTGGCGTTTGACTTCGTGGCCCGAGTGTAACAATGGCACTTTCTTTTCCTACACTTGCCAGTGCCTGACAAGACGATTGACGCCATTGGGTATTCCAGGCTATGCAAGTGTTCAGAATCCTGTGGCACAGTTTAGAGAGCATTAGGAAGGAGGCTGGCAAAGTAGGGCAGCCGAGCAGCAACCAGTTCCCCTCCTTGGAAGCTCCAAAACAAAGCCACCGTCTTTCCCCTGGGAGCGGTTGGTGCATAGCTGGATCCTCAGCAGCTGAGGGGCCCTCACCCTCTGGCAGCCGCTGGCCTGTCGGGATGCCTAGTGTTGGAGCAGCGTGCGCGGGTGGGTGGTTTCCAGGCCACTTATTTGTGAAGAGTAGAGCATCCGGTCTCCCTGCCCAGGCTGGTGGTGGTCTGAGGCTCTGTGGTCCTTCAGGGGACGATGATGGGCAAAGTGCTGGCGGCAGAGCAGTGGACAAAGGCCCTGGCCTCGTGGAGCTGAGAGTTGGCATGGAGGTAGACAAAGAGTGTATGGTGTACTTAGCGGCACAGGAGGTGCTGGGGGCAGTGCAGACGATGGAGTGGGGAGGGGACGTGCAAGCTGAGCTCTGAAGGGTGAGGAGCCAGTTGTGTGATGTGACAAGGAATTGAGGGGCCATATCTGGGAGACTAGAGGCCCATGAGGAGTTAAACGCAAAGGGATAGAAGGTTGCCAATGGGAAATGACGCACCAAAGGCCAAAGGCCAGCCTCGGGTGAAGCACCAGCTCCAGGATGCTCCCTGGGGGCTGGCGTCCTCAGAAAGTGCATCTTCCTGGGATTTGCAGCCTTGACTATTCATGGGCCTCTTTGGACAGGCTCAGTCTTCCAGCAGTACTTGGTTTGATCCCACCGATACTCTTGGCTTGACCGGCTGCATTTTAGGACAGCAAACTTAGACTTCTGAAAGGAATTTAAGAGGAACATCAACATTTAAGATGCGGTGCTCAGGATTGATGACATAGGTGATATTTATCTTCATGATGCTGTCAGCACTCAGAGTCAGCCCTTCCCTCTTCCAGCATCTCTGGAAGGGCTCATTTTTGCCCGTGGGCCCTGCCCCCGGCTGGAGGAAAGTGCGCTGGCTCCAGTCTACCAAAGTGGAGCTTCTGAGCGTCTGCAGTCCCAGGTCCAAAGATAGTGGCCACAGTTGAGGCCTGTGACAAGCCAGGGGATTGTTTATTGGAGGTGGCCCGGGGAGGTGGGAAATGAGACGGAGCCAGGGGCCCAAGAAGCTAGTCTGAGGCGTACCTTAGAAGCTGCTCCGTGACATTCACCACGGTGGAACCATTCACGTGGATCGTTCACGAAGTGTCTGTACGGAGACAGGCGCTGTACCATGGAGTGTCAGCAAAGGACCATGGAGCCCAGTAGACTTTTGCTGAAAGACCAAATGTATGTTGGTGGAGGTGAAGTCTTTGGTTAAAAGATTAGAGAGTATGGAAAACATGAGCCGCCCTTCCAAGCTTTTAGTTGAGTCTGGAAGAGCCCTGGTGTGCCCCCACCCACCTGAGGGATCCCACAGTGCTTTCAGCAGGAGCTCAATGTGGATATTCCTTTACCCTCCCGACAGCTCCCTGAGCCAAATATTCTTCTGTTTTATGAATAAGACACCTGAGGCTTACAGGATAATAGGTAACATCCCCAAGGCCACACAAGGAGGAGTTGGGGTTGGGAGTCATGTCTCTCTTTCCAGAGCCGATTTTGGCCTGCTTACAGGCTCCTGGAGGTAGACGTTGCCAGTCCCTGCAGTCCTGATCACGCTGCGAGGGGCTGGCTCTGGATGACCTGCTCCTCTGGGCCCTTCCAACCTTGCACCTGGAGCTGGAGCTCCTTGGGAGTGTTTTAAATCTCAGGTCTTCAAACGGAAACCCTGAGAACGTGAGGAGAAAATGGAGAAAATGGGAGACCAAGCATCCTTTTCTCACGATTCTCCCTGCTCTGTAATTCCCACTGCTCATTTCTCTCCACATTGTTCCGGAGGTGTCTTTTGAGAGTACACACACGGCAGGTGCTGCTCTGGGCAGGACACAAAGATCAGAGGGGCAGTGTTCCTGGCCTCAGGGCTCTCACAGATGTGGGGGTTGGACCGTTCAGCTGTTTAAAACACAGCCCATAGTAAATATCATAACACATGTTTAAACCAAGTGCTAGGAAACGGGCCGGGGGGTGGAGAACTAGATTGACTAGTGCCTGGAATGAGAGTGGGGCCAGGTGGAGAGGTGGCGAGACGGCATGGTGGGCTTTGGGAGCCCCTGGCAGGAGGGCAAGTACAGTGTGATGGTGGGAAGGATGGTGGAAATGTCAGAGCTGCAGGGCTTGTGGCTGGAGGTAAGACTGGGAAGTCAGGTTGCCTAGTGTTTCTTGAAAGATCTTTACAAAGAGCCAAGAATGAGTCTTGTGCATGTTAACTTACTATACGATGTGCCTCCTAATTGAGAAACCCCATGCTGCCTGCATATTTGTGAGGAAGGAAATAATTCCACGGATTTGCCATGGAGAAGTACAAAGAGGGCTGAGGCAAGGGGTGCAGATGTCTACAAGAAGGTGGGCAGTGTTGGATTAGAGAGCGCGAGTGCTTGCTAGGCGACCCCTTCCTGAACGGCGTGTGCTTTGAAATGTGCGTAGGAGCGTGTGAAAAGTACAAATTATTCTCTCTCTGCTGTGGTCTGGGCTACTGCCATTTGCGTTAGGAGGTCTCAGCAGAGAGATGACTGCACCTGTAATGGCCTTGTGAAGCTACCTGCCAGCTTGGCCTGTTTTCTGCATCTGGGAGCAGACAGGTGGTGTTGATGGTGGGAAGTTTCCAAGGCAATTTGTGGGATTCTTGGTCACCTTGAAAAAAAACTCAGTAGTGGAATGATCATAGGACTGGGTTGGAGACCTGCTCAGAGAACTGTCCACCCACCAGTCTTGACCATGTTCAGTTTCTTTTCCTGGCCTAAGTGTTCTCACATGGAAAACGTGGCCAGTGAAGCAGATGGTCGCAAAGAGCCTGTCCTAGTCTCTAATGACCGGACTGAGTTTTACTGCTTGGTTTGCTGAGGAGTTATTCCATCAATGATTTAGGAACTTGGTAGTTGGTAGGATATGGAGGTGGGGAAGGGTTAAAATAATTTCTTAGAGGCTTATTCTTTGCACACTTCTTTTCATCTTCTGATAAGCATAGCTGTTGTTTTCATAACCTGCCAGTGGATTCTGTGGGGCCGACTATTACTCTCATTCTAAACAGAATAGGCCTGTCTTTAATCACAAGAAAACAGCAAAGGAGTCCCAGAGGTCAGCACAGTCATTTGCTGGGCTCAAATTGCCAGCATTCTTTTTGTTCTCTGAAAATGAAGCTTTAAGCGACACGGGCTTACAGCCAAATACAGGCAAGACACATTCTGTTAGTCGCAGGAGGAAAACCATGTCGAAACTAAAAGTCCATACTGGTAGTAAAGTAGTTTTTCGAGAGCTACACCACAACCCCCAAAATTGACCTCTTAAGTTTAAAGTGACAACAGTAATACCTGGATAATCCTGCACATTCCTAGCGCCACCACAACCCAGTGAGATTAACAAAAGACCCATGGAACCAAACTTCATCTCCAAAGTATTCAGGTCAGCTGGGCTGCTGAAGGGGAGCAGCCTTGGT